AAAGCCTAACGGGCCGTATACGGCCCGTTAGGCTTTGGGGGCCGTAGTATGCCCATGTCTGGGCTATCCTGAGCTATCTCTATAGTTATGCTGCTATAGACTTAGACTGCTGGAGGACATAGGGACCCCTATTTCATCATTCTGCTTCATTCTATCTCTATTCTCCCACTCTGCAGAATCTCTTAGTTCAATCTCTAACATTATGCCCTCTCTGCTTTTTCTCATAGTAGCTTTGCCACCCGGATATCATATCCGCTCTTTTTCGCCCTCATGTCCCTCTGTTGTCGGAAAAACTCACCCCCACTTCTACTGCCTCGGTCGTATCTAGACCCACAGCTAGTTCCCGATTCTCTTGCGCATAAATAAAAAATGTCTGCGTCCAGCTCACTGCGACACACTGCTGCGGGGAGTATAACCAGCCCTTTAGACACTGTCGTCGGACAACATGCTGTAATTCATAAATGTTTTAAATCAAGTTGGGTCCGGATTAGCCAGCAGGTGGGTCTGGATCAGACCTCTGCATTAGACACTTATCTGCAATGTATCCTAGATTATCTGTTTTCTACATGTGTCTATATAAATTAGGTTGCAGAGGATATTTAACAATATTAATTAGGTGCATTTTATTCAAAGGTCATGTAGTTATTGTGTCTCCACACAACTTATTTAGCTGGGCTCTGCATAAAATGGTTCTATAGATCTGGAAGGTAGCAGACCCCTGATCTAAATTCTAAGAGAACATCCTATAAAACCAGAACAACTTTAGATCTATAACTGCTATCAATGTTATTATTAACATGACGGAGCAGTGAGGTTAAATCTAACGGGAAACTACTGTGGCATTAACAAGGGTTACCAAATGAAGCAAATTGTCAATGAAGGAAGCCAAAAACATTTTGGAATGACTTCAATCAAACATAATATAAAGTTGTCAAAAGATGAGAAGTTTTCACCTTTATGCTTCAGTCAATCATGAGAAATGGATCAGTTACAGAGAGCAACTCAATGCATAATTAAACTCAAACAGGTTTGTAGCTCCTGAGAGGTCAGAACAACCCTCTGCTCTTTGCTACAAGATAAAAAGCTCAATAAGCACCATATTATCTTTGTTATTTTCATATTCACCCCACTTTTCATGGTTCTATTAGTTAACCTGCTTTTCAATCTGCTGTTCAGCTTGGTTCAAATTAATACAACATCAGAACTTTAATGTTAATATGGTGTAAGGAACGCAACTGTTTAGCTGTGCTACAAATGATAAAAATAGGTGTTTTATGTCACTGTTTGCCTTCTTGCTCCCTGAATGACTGCAAAAAGGGGCGGTTTGGCAATGTGCTTTCAAAGATAGCTGCACACACGGACAACGCTTTTTATCAGCAGGTTATCATAAAGCCCCATTTCCCCATCAGGCCAGAGGAGGCGAGAGAGCGATGGAGAGAGACAAGGGCAGAGAAAAAAAAAGAAAAAGAGAAGAATGTCAAACTGTCTGGCCTTTTCTTGGCAATCTTAACGTGCTGTCTGTCTAAGAAATTAATCTTCTGTCATCTTAAGATAGGAATCTCTCACTTATCTGTCTCCTCCCACACCTCCTTTGACTTTGCCGTTCCCTCTTTCACTCCAACCGTATCACCATGTCTTTATTTTCCATTTTACCAGGCTCCTCTTCAAGTATTTAGTGTTTCTGTGACTTTTTTTTGTCCGTCTACGTTACTGAAGACAGGAGAATCTTTTTGCACCATTATCCCCTGTCTGGTACCTTATCCTCCATCCCTCCATTAAGCTGTCTAACACAGAGCTGCCTGAATACCCCCAGAAAGACTTAAACTTTCCATTCTAATTTTTTTTTTTTTTATTCAGATAGTTTTGATTCTTTTTTTAACATTTACTTAAAGCTTTATAACATTGTTTGTAGTTAATATCTCAGCATCTGTGATGTTAAAAGGCTCTATTTGACAAAATAATAAACAAATCAGCGAATGTTGGCGGGTTGATTTGAAGTTACTGAGCCCTGCAGAACTATGAGTAACCATTTAAAGTCTTGCTGAATTATGTAACATTCCAGCAAATATTTACCATACCATTTTATTTCTAGAACATTTTGGAAACTGCATAAAAACTGACCAAAGTGCTTAGTCAAGGTTTGAGATGATAGTAGCAAGAACTGCAATTTCAAGATAACGTGTAGAACAGAGGGACTTAGTATTTAAGAACTGACCAAAGCATTTACATTTACATTAAGTTTGAGGCGGGGTTCCATTTATGTACTTTTTCTATGTTATAGGATGCTGAAAAAGTTAATCTGAACAGACAAGATAAAATTCAACTTTATCACATCTCACAGAGAAAAAAAATGGTGGCGGCGCCATCATGCTGAGGGGATATTTTACTTCAACAAGGGAAGGGAAGCTGGTCAAAGCTGATTGAAACATGAACGCAGCTAAATACAAAAAGAAAATGATTGTCAACAGTGGAACGGTTTGGATCCAAAGATATTAATGTGTTAAAATAGCCTAGTCAAAATCACATCCAAATAAGAAGCTGTAGCCGAGCTTAAGCTGTATTGTGATGAGAAAAAAAAAATAATTAACTAACTGCATGTTTCTCTGACATTTGTCAGAGAAAGTGCAAACTAAAGGTCCCATGTCAGTTCTGAAAGATCTAGGTTTTGATAAACTCTTATTGGCACTGAAGGCAGAGATCTTACTCTCTTAATTTATTTAAAAGCAGCACAACTCTGAAGGTTATTTTGTTTCATTACTATTTGTGTACTTTAGGTGTGAATTTGGAGTTGTAGATAGAGTTACATTCCAATTTTTGTATTCGTAGAATAAAAAAAATTTTTTTTTTTTAACACCTGTTCAAATTCTAAGTACAAGTACACAGCTTCTGTTCTAGAAGTTGCACATCAAAAATCTCTTACATTCTCAGTTTTGCTTCAAGTGGTTCAGAACTATTGTTGCAAAATTATTTGTGCATTGTAACTTTGGTGTTTTGTAACTGTAGATATTTTTAATCTTTCACAATTACAAAAAAAAGTTACACCTCTTTAAATTCTAGAGTACAAGTACACAAATTGTGTTCCGTGAGTTGCACATCAAAAATGTCTTCCATTCAGTTTTACTACAGCTGATCTAAAACAAATGGTGTAAAACAAATTCAAACTCGTATATTGAGAATCTTAAATATATCTAAAAAAAATTTTTTTTTCCTTAACACAAATACAAGTCAATGTATACAACTGCACAAATCTGCTTCTGTGCGTCACAAATTTAACTTTACAAGTTATGCCTTCATTTTTACTTTTGACACAAATGTCACACCGGAAAAAATTATGTGACTTGTGGGTAGTACTCTTGATCGGACAGCAGGGGGCACTTTTTTGGTATTTTTAATTCTACAAATACAAAACTTGGAATGTAACTCTCTCTACATCTTCAAATTCACACTTACAATGCACAAATATATATATATATATATATATATATATAAAATGCACAAGTAGCTATTCTACTTCGACTCTAAGATTGATCACCAACTGTTGCTTATGAGCATCATGCTAAATGGTTTACCCATCATTAATCAGACATATGAGGCATTCACCAGGAAGGCTTTTGCCAGTTAGACGGTATGTTTCATCACCGTATCGCTCATATTGTTGCTAAGACTTAGCCCATTGTGGTAAACATCGTCACTCACATAGCCAATGTGTTGTAAACACTGTACTCATAGCCTTCTACTGAAATATCAAAAAACTGTTGTCATATAACCGTTATTGAATAAAAAAATATTGCGATATATCGATACTGAATTATTGTCCTGCCCTGATAGAAATGCAGGATGAATATATGGATTCTTACATGTTTCTCTCCTTCGATCCTCTTATCAGCTTGCTGCACAGCCTCCAAGTATTTAAAATACAACTCCATCAGTCGATCAACCTGGAGATAAAATGACGAGTGTGACGGAGGGAAGGTGACAGAAGATTAGAACCACAGATCAGAATAAATATTTAACAGGAAGAGAAAAAATAAAAACGGCATAATATACTTAAAATAATATCACAATAACTACAGTTGTGCTTAGACTGTAAAAAGCTGGATGATTACATGAGTCAAACTATGTGGGGACAAAACTAAAATTCCTGCTTTTGAATGTTTGGCCTTCTATGTCAAACCTTCTATTAGGAAACTTGGACCAGGTTTAGGCTTTGGTTTTATAGTAGATAAAAAATAGTCTCTTTTACCCTCTTACTTCTCTAGCAAATTTCTAAAGTCATGTGATGAAGGCCTGCTAGTTGAGCCACCCAGAAGGCAGGACCTTCTGCTCAGTGGCCAAGGCCTTTTAGAAAGAAACATCTAAAAATTATGACTAACTTTAATTCACTGCTGAGTTTTACTGATGTTTTATTTGCCTAGTTTTAATCTGTCGTTTGTGATCTATGAAAGTTCAGACATACATGTTTTACCTACAAACTCTGCTGTCTAAGAAAAAAAAATGAAAAGAGACAGTTCTCCATTTTGCTTTCAAACCTTAGGGCTCAGTGGGGCGCCTTCAATGAACGGAAACCATAATGCTACACATTTGTTCCTTTCATCACTTTAAACAGATGATTCAAGGCTTAAATTAATAGTTAAAAAATAAATCTTTTCATAATGTTCCTGCCAAATTTTAACAGAAAAAAACAACACCAACAAATTGGTACACATCTATTATTCCCCATAAGTATAGAGGACCAATCCTCCCATAATTAAAAATAAATACAGAAATGAATAAATGCTCGATAAATAAATAAGCATACAATTAATTGCCTCAAAAAATACAATAAATAAATAAATGTAGGTAGAAATTAAATTATACAATGAGACATAAATGTATATATCTCTTTTAATTAGCTTCTTTATTTATTCGCTTTTGTTATAATGACCTTATTTATGTATTGTCCGTTATAATATTCAACTTTATTTTTTATTATCTGTATTATTCTTTTTTTTTTTTCCTCATTTATTTCTGCCTGTCGTATTTACATTTCTGTATGCATTTCTGCCCCATTATGCATATAAGGAGGGGTGTGTCTTACAAAGTCAACTTCTGCTCATTGGTTGGCGGCTCATCTTCTTAAAGGAAAATTCCGGTTTTTAACACTTTTAGCCCATTTTCTGTAGTGTCCAGGATGAAATCGAATGATCGACACCAAAATTTTGACGATTGGTCCTGTCTCTGCTATTTGGCTCATGCAGAATCCCCCCCTGGCTGCTTTAGAATGGCTTCCATAGTGCATGTCCGATAATGTCCTTAAAACAACCTTAAACGTTCTTTTTTTTAAATATGCTACTCACTGGGTCGTCAGCGCTGTTCAATGACGTTCCAAAAAAAGTTTCGTGAAGAAAAACCGTTCCTGTCTTGTTTTATTTAGCATTTTGTAAATCCCAGAACTATTTTTTCCGATACATCACAACCGCTTATAAACTTCCGCTTCCCGTTCGAATCTGAAGCGTTGCACACTCCAGACCACTAGTTGGCGACGGTATCCTCTACCGTCAAACTCAAAGTCCAATATGTCCTCCTCAAGAATCCACCTTTCGTATTCCATTTTCAGAGTTTTTTAAAGTGTTTAACAGAGACGTTAGCACCTCGACGTCGGAGTACACAGAGTGGAGCAGAAACACTTGGGCCTTGCGAAAAGACTACAACTAAGCGTAAACAGGCCCCATTTCCGTTTCCGGTGGCGGAGGGATATTGACTATTCCAACAGAACTCAATGGGATTTACAAAATGCTAAATAAAACACTACAGGAACGTTTTTTCTTTACGAAACGTTTTTTGGAACGTCATTGAACAGCACTGACGACCCGGTGAGTAGCATATTTTAAAAAAAGAACGTTTCAGGTTGTTTTAAGGACATTATCGGACATGCACTATGGAAGCCATTCTGAAGCAGCCAGGGGGGGATTCTGTATGAGCCAAAAAGCAGAGACAGGACCAATTGTCAAAATTTTGGTGTCGATCATTCGATTTCATCCTGGACACTACAGAAAATGGGCTAAAAGTGTTAAAAACCGGAATTTTCCTTTAACTCACAGAGTATTAAGTTAAAAGAACTCAAAAATTAATTTAATAAAATTACTGCAAACTGTTTACAAATATTAGAAGGGAATCCTAAAGGAATGTGAAGAATTTCATATAACAATGAATAAATAACTATTTCAGAGAAAAACAGTAAAAAATTCATCATGCAAATGACATGATTGTTCTGTGTATAATTTAGTCCACAAAGTCCATTAAACCAGTAAGATAACCAGTTCCTTTCTTACCTCTGATTCCACAGTAGAAAGTATATTTAAGTTAATTTAAAATAAACATCTACAGATTCAAAACAGCATTGGCAGGAAGAGGAGGAAAACTCACCTTTTCACAGTCGTTTTCTGTGAACTTGTTGAGGAGTCTGGTTCTCTGTTGGGACTTGAGGTTCCTCAGCATGGAAGCGATGACGGAGCAGACGTGTTCTGAGGAGGAGTTCAAATTAAAGCTGTAACTCACAAGCCAGGGTTTCTAGTCCTTGCAGAGAAATGTGGATATATAAATAAATATGTCTATAGACACTGTAAATTAGATAGAAAGGAGCTAAAAACCCAGTAGGACTTAAACTTAAAATTTCTGACCCAAAAGAACAAGTTAAACCACAGTTCATCTCAGCAAAGCCCTCAGCAGCAGCAACCTGATTAACATTTGATCATTTAAAATAACAGCATAAGCCAGCTTGAAGGAAAATGAGAAGAAACCGTAAATTAAATTTTGAAATGGGTTTTTTATTTCAGAGCATGCTGGTGCATGTGTAACAGTTTTGGCCGAGGCCGAATGAAGTTTCCTGCAGTGATAGAAATTTGCTCTTGGCAGCTTTGGGGCCATTTAGTGAGCAGAAGATCAGCAGACATGTTAATTGACTAAATTAGCAACACAAACATAATGAAACCCCTTGTTACTCATGCTTTGTAAGAAGGATCGCATTCACATCCCTTACTCACAGGCTCAGAGAGCAGGTGGAAATCATAACACAATATTTCTCCAAGATATTGGATAAAAATGCAGTGTACACAGGGGTGGGGGGTGTGGAGGGGGCGGGCACATTATGACATTGTTAAAACCTCTAGATATATACAAAGCGAAGGAAGAAAAATGTAATTGGACTTTATCAACAAGAGGTCAATATTCTCTCTCAATGAGGCTTTGCAGTTGCTAAGCAACAGGAGAGCAGGAATCAATCCCATTCCTGCATTTTAAAAAAGGGGTCTTGTTTGCTGTCGGCTTCCTTTGTGCAATCCCCCTATGACCCACGGTGTCTTTACTCACAAGGCATGAGAGCTGAGAAAACTAAAGACTGTAACACCTGCCACCGTCAGTTGTTTCAGAAGGCACGTAAATCCATCAACCGCATGAGCAGAAAGCCCAGAAAGTGCACTAAAACAACATACAACACAGCGATCGGGCAGATTGAAAAGCAGAGACCTAAGAAATCAAACAAAAAAAAAGACGTCAGGAAAAGCTCCTATAATGGACCACTGCAGCTAAAGGCATCAGCAGAAGCCTCCAACTTTGTGAAATAAGCCATCTAAAACCTAATGACGTTAAAGAGCCAGAAAAGGCTGATTTATACTCCACAGTAGCAAGCATTAACAAACTGGCATATACTACGCTTGAAAGGCGATGTACCAGTCCTAATCAATAGGAAAGTTTTATCTGAAAGAAGAAAGTTTGCTTTTTCCTCATCAACAGAGCAAGATTTTTTTGCCAGCGTATTTCAATGTAGCGGGCTGCTACATTCAAATTTGTCCTTTCTACACTGAAATACCCTACAGCTCTTTCCAGCGCATTTTAACACAAACACTGGTTACACTAAAAAGAATAAAAATAAACTGAATTTGGCCAACAAACTTACTTCCAATGAGCTTAACTGCCATAGAAACTGTATTTTTTAAACTAATTTACCACATTTTTGCACATATAAATAAGAAAAGGCAAACCCCGGGCCCTTCAGGCTCTGTCATTGACTAAACCTAGTTGTTTGCAGGCAGGTGAACATATGCACTACTGACATGCACTTTTTTCCTATCCAGTAAAACGTAGTAAACCCTGCCTTATCATTCCATGGCTCCAGACGGAACAGAGCAATGTCTCTGGGTCAATCTGACAGTTTGCATATCAAGGAGACAAATGAACATCGCCTCCAACATGGAGAAAAGATTGAAACAAAATGTGGAGCAATGAAATCAAATAAGAAAGGTGATATAGGTGTTGCAAAGAACGCGTTTCTAAAATGCCCTTTATGAGGGCGTCAAAAAGGCAGCATAAGTTTGGTTCCTTTAGCATTTAAACTGCAAACAGCCAAGAGCAAATATTGTGAATTTAACTAACATTCCGATTTCAGCTTTAACTGGAGAGATTATCTTCATTCCAGCCACTTATCCATGAAAAATTAATCATTAAACAGATGTTTAATGACAGCTTACCAGATGTCAATTTACTGTGACATCTGGTATTTATGCAATGTGTAAATAGGTCACAATTTAGTAATCATTCGAACAAAAAATCAAATCACATTACATTGACAGATTTTGCAGCTCGGTCAAACATTTGATTGCTTACAAAGAAAAATGGAGTTTAAACAGTTTATTACCCCAACCAATAAATGCGTCACAGTGCAATATTTTTGGCATTCGAGGAAACAAATGGTATTTTAGCCAAATGTCCTCTCATGCTACATAAAGCGTGTCTTAATTCATATTAAGGTAGGTTTGTATCTAAAGCACTGTTTACTCCCGAAAGATTTGTTTTTTGCTAAAATAAACTTTACAATTGGATGTCTTGTAGTGCTGTCTATGTGGACATTATTCTGGCAAGGTACTGCACATTTGTTTCAATCCAGCATCTGTGTCTACAACTCTCCATTTGGCGCCCTCCTCAGGTTTAAAAGGGGTTTCTGCATCTGATTTTTTACCATTTGATTACCGGTATCTGATATTATGATGCAACTGAGAGAACCTAAGGTTAGCAGCTCTTACCTCGGCTGTTGCTTAATGCAGATTTACTCCTACACACAGCGGCTTGATTAAGGATGGGAGATAAATTAAATAATTTTTTTATAACGGAAAATTAAAATATTTTAAAATAACCATTTTCATTATGTCATTTTATTAAAAAAACAAATGAAAATGTATCATAATAAAAAGCAGTGTGCATTTTTCAAGTCTAAAATAATAATTTTACATTATGTTTGCAAATGGGTCACAAGACAAAAAAATAAATGTTTGTTTCTCGAAAGCATTCGGTTCTGATATTCATGACAGTGCCCATGAAAACCACTGTATGTTGGGAGGAGGAGACGAAATCTAATATCCAAACTAAAACTAACCAAATCTGGGTTCAGGAATCTCTGAATTCCCGAACCCAGTTCAGTGGAGACAAGCAGCTCAGGTTGCTTGCCTCCACAGAAACTTTCTCTCTTTTCCGAGTTTCCTCTGCCTCTGGTAAAGATGGAGGAGAGATCTCCCTTGCCTCGTACTCAGTCACAAAACCATCAACACTGTGATCGCCTTGCTTGCCATGGTAGTGTCGCTGTAATTCTAAAAGCGAATGTTCAATTGACAGCCTCCAGAGGCCAGGACAAACCATGTTACTTTAAAAATCACACAGGACACCAACATGATCCACAAAGCAAAGCTGTTGTTACAATACCGCTGGTCAGCCTGCTTGATGGAACATGTCAAGCTTCACAAGTTCTTCCTGCTGCAAAATTGCATCCAAAACAGCTTTGAAACTAGCTATGTTGGCCAGATTGCAGGGCACGTTTCCCTTGACCGCCATTAATCAGTGGTAAACAGATCAAATATTCCACTGTCAGATGTTTTTCCTACTTTTATTCTTTTATTTCTCAAAACTAAAAATCCTTGTTTATTCATTCATGGATGGATTGATGGACAGAGACGGATACATATAAATATATGCTTTAATGCAACTTCTGTTAAAATTAAAACCTGCTGTATAAGAGAAACTGAAGCACTTTTTGTTATTGTTCTTAGGAAAAAGTCATGGAATCAGTGAAAATCCGGAATTCGGACATAAAACCCAGAAATCGGTCTCACCTCCACTCTCTTGATATTTAAATTTGTATCCTGCTAACAATGTTTAATCTTGAAGACAAGGACATGTCAGACATTATAAGTGTTCTGCTCCTCTGATAAATTAACCAACAAGACAAGGAAAAATGCAATTTGGCTGCAAATCAGGTTCGTCCGGTGAAAGGTTCCCTTGTTTTACTGTAGAACACGTTCTTTCTTGTACAAAGAGACAAGCAGGCTGACTGCCATTTCCAAAAGGACACTACTTTATCAGCTTGATCCAACTGGTAATTGATGTCACCACCTCCGTGCCCTGCTCAGAAGGCTATTGATCGCTGGCTCTGGAACGTTCTCTCCAGACGTTAAAACCCTACAGAAACTGCTCCTTAGAGATTTGTGAAGCCGTGGAAGCATGATTGGGTTGTGGATTCAAAAGAGGGAGTCAAAGCTAAATAAAACATATTCTTCATCTGGTTGAAGCTGACACCTGGTCAATAGTTACTTAAAAAAGTTCCTTTACAATGAGATATTTAATAATGATATAAAAGACTGAAGAAACATTGTTTTATCATAGACAATCACCTGTTTTCGCAGCAGATAATGCAAAGCCAAAAATCAGGATTTCCAAATCAACTCCAAAAAAAGTGGGGGGGTTGAATCCTTACCAGCAGGATCACATTTTCCAGTTTGAACAGTAAACATAAAAAATGACAAACTAATAAGGTTTTTTAAAATGGTTTTGTTAAAAAATGCTTTTGATTAAAGGTTAATTTACCCATGTTGGTTAGGTACAGCAATACGACTGATATTAACTCCCCAACTAAAGGGGGTGGTAAAGGCTCTCAGAGAGCCACCAATCACAAAGGCTAGATAACACTTACAGCCCTGCAGGAGTGACCTTTTCTTCATTAATCCTAAGGGCGATCACAACTACCAATAAAACAAATTTGTGGCTTGAATTAAAAGATAACATCAAACAAAGGGGTTTTAATGGTCTTTCTCCATCAGATTTAAAGGACCTAATAAAACAACACTCATCCTTAAGAACACTAAGGGGCAAATAACCAATTGCTTTCAGTTTTTCAGAGGTCCAATCTGAGAAGTAGAGGTGATCGTGCCAGAGCTGCTCTGAACTGTTAAGGTCCTTTTAAAGAGACAATTTTGGAATCAAATTGCTTCACATCTTCACTATTTTCATCTTTTAACTTTTAAAATGATTTAGTAGTTCACACCTTCTGTGTTTATCCCCCTTTTAAACTCCGTTCATTTTTTGTAATTTGGTATGTTCTCATTTTTTTGCATTGCAGCACTTTAATGCAACTTATTCCTTTTCAAAGTGTGACATAAAGGAAGTTGACATTTACAAATACATTTAAAGTCGTAGGGAAATG